ATCGGCCTCTACCAATGTGCATCCCTCATCATGCCCATCGATGTTCATTTTTCCTCTGTGCTCCTCATGCTTCAAACCCTATTAGGCAGGAAACGGGTTTTAAAGATAGTGATGGAAGGATGGCAAGAGATCAGATGGAGCACAAACAAGCTGCATGATAGGGCAAACACAAGTTACTTCACCATCTGGTCTAACGAGTGGCGGAAAGAATCGGAAGAATCGGAGAAGGCTGTGCTGGTCATGGAATCCATCTATGACCTGCTGAGAAGACAGATCCGAGTGGCATGGCACCACATTTTTTTCAGTTTTCTGTTTTTTTTCTTTTGCCCTGTTTTATTTTTGGTCAAGGTCTGTGTGTGCCAAGTTTGGTGTTTGTTGGGGTCTTGGAGTTGACTGTTTTGGCTAGCCCTGAAAAATCCCGAAAATCCTGAAAACTGAAAACAGTGAATTTTGCATGAAAACACACTTTTGCCTTGCTGTTTTATAGGTTTTAAAAGTTTTTTTTTCAATTTTTTTTTGGTAAGTAGTTAATATGATCTACACTCTATGAATTGGTGGCAAGTATGGTTAAAATGACCCTTGGGTTTTGTTATAAATGGCCTGACAAGTAGTCTGAAAATTGAGGCCTCCGTTAACCGTCTCTCCTTCTTTGATGAAGATGAGGTCCCACTTGTGCAAGACCTTGTCATTCTACCTAAGGGAGCCCAGTTATCGGACAATGAGGTGACTTGGCCGGGTCATCTTAGAAAGACACCCAGAGGGAGAATCCTGAAGGGAAGGAGGGTCAATGACTCTAGCAGCACGGATAGCAGCTGTGATGGGGATGATTTAATTTGATTGGGAAAAGGGAGGAAGATGCAGGCCAACCCCAAGGGCAAAGCACAGATGATTGAGGCGGGGGGAGGGGAGAGGGGGAAGGAGGAAGAGGGGGATAGTGAGGAGTTTAGGGGCAACAATGAGATTGATATCAATCTCACAGGATTCGCTAGACGAATCTCTAGGATAGTGACTTTTTGTGGGCTCCAAGAGCCACTCAGTAGCATGGCCCACGCCAGAGAAGACCATGTCATTGTCATGCAGCATGTACAAGACGAGGCTGTGAGTCGTGTGGCTTGGAGGAAAGGGAGGAGCCGTTGCTACAAGAGAAAGAGTGGCAAGACAAGCATGCGGCGAAGCATGAGCAAGGGGAGGAACAACAGGAGCAGAAGCAGATGGAGAACAAGTGGGAGAAAACAGCACCAGAAGGAGAACGCGACACACTATGAGCACCACGGCAGGAACAAAAGCAGAATCCACAGGAGGACGATTATCAGTGTGGTGCTATCAGCAAGAGCTCCAACCTGGACAAGAGCAAGCAGAAGCAGAGGATCCAATGTGGAGTAGTAGTGGCAGGGACAACAGCAGCGCCACCGGACCAGCAGCATGTGGACAATGCGCCAGAAGTTGCACCATGTGTACACGAGGCAGCAACATGCACCCGTATCAGCAGCAGCCCCTGCTGCACCCTCTCATCCAGGCTTCCCACCATTGGTCAAGGACGTGAAGCAAGAATCCCAACCCCAGAAGGGTGGGAAGGAACAGGAGCGCATGTACTGACCCTGTGGCGGCCGCCCGACAGAGAATGACTGAGCGTGTGGTAAGAAGACCCCAAAGATCATTGATGATGATCCGACAGCAGTCAACAATGGCAGCAGCAACAATGGTGGTGGGGAATCTGACAAGGAGCACCACAGCAGTCTGACAAGAAGCACCACCCTGGGTCCACCTGGTTCAGTAAGAACTACTTGAGAGGAAGTCATGGTAAATGTCCCTGATACGAGGGAGCAGAGGAGTGAAAATGAATTTCTTTAAGGAAGAAGGAGCACAGATATAGGGTTGCAAAGGAAAGAGAGAGAGAGAGTCACCAAGGCACACAGGAACACCGTTTATATCAACCAATATGTCTCTCACTCGATCTCTTCCCTACTTCCAAATTGTCAGTCATACCCTGCCTCCTTGCATCCACCCACATCATCCATATGTGGCTTATGCTGCCACCAAATAACAACAGAAAATGATGAGCGACAAATATCTTATTGGAAGATGGCTGACGAGTTCAAACTTCACAGGTTTGGGCGCTCCACACTCTCCATTATCCGCCCACCTTATCACACCAAATCTGCAGGGTTGGAGTCGGCCCTTGCTCGGCCTTCTTCAGCACATTCTGCTGAGAACAGCAGGCTATCTCGATGGCTACCTCTTTAACCGATTTGCTTGTCAATCCTGGAAATTCCTGATCAAATCACACTGTCAATCCTGGATTGAATAAGCCTCTTGTCTCACACACTATAAAGTTGGACTAAAAACTTTTGTTACCTCCTCTAGATTTGTGAAGACACTGAATGGTCAAAATGCAGGAGTTGAGTAAAGAATTATCCAGGCAACAGAGGGACTAATAACGCCTTCTGAAGTTATATCCTTTGACTAATCTAGTGCACCATTGAACCCTTCTGTTATGGCTTCTGGTTTCACATATGCTGGCCAGCACATGTCGTCAGACATATGCCAGATGCACAAACAGGGGTATTCCATTTTGTGAGAGTTGTAATCTGAGATATGAAAGACGTTGCCTGGGAACGAACATGAAACGCACAGCCTGTTCATGTGTGACATAAGCTGGCCTTTAAACCGCTAGTACACGACCCCAACTTTATGGAGATTTGCCTGTCACCTACTCCGAACTTTTCGAGGCTCAGGGCTACCGGATCATGATGGCCGGCGGTGCCAGCCACAAAAGAAAAACAGTGCGCCGCTGGCCGTCCGGAATAGCTTGGCGCGCAGTGCAGTTCCTCCATGCCCGGGTGTACTGGTGGTTTAAGAGAGAGTTCCACACATGTGCATTTCACCTCGGCTATACCACCTGCTGATATTCTTTAGCTGAGCGCTTTTTCTCAATATGTCCAGCTGTTTGGTGAGGGGGATAGTTAGGGGATGAGACGTGGGCGAGAGAAGAACGTACCTGGTGTGTCATGGAGGTCGGCATGGGCAGCATCTTCATGTACATCAGTTCACTGCTGAAGTGCTTCAAGTTGCATCATTGTAGTGTAGGCTAGCATAGGTGTCGTGAGTCTGTGGTTGGGTGCCAGGCGCCATGTGGAAGAGTGCCATTGGATACACTGTTGGGGCTGACATTGACAATTTAGTTCATTGCTTTGCTCTTATTTGGTGTGTACCTGGTGCATTCTGCTTTCTGTGTGACACATGACCATCTACTTCTCATCCAACTTTTCAATGTCATGATGCAATTTGGATTTCTGTCATTCGCTCTCGCTCATTTGCCTTGCATCTTGGTATCAGAGCGGGTTCGCTGACAGCTCCATCGGCACTGGTGCTAGAGTTATTTGGTGAGCTGGCCCATCTCCAGTGCAGTGGAGATACTTCAGTGCTGGTTATTGGTTGATTGGCGGCTCTGGGTTGAGAGGCCAGTGCCAGGAAGGCCTTGTGGTGACCAACGTTGGGTGTATGCTGTGTGATGAGAGTGCGCTGACATGGCATTTATGCAAAGGAGGCACTGCATTGTATTGTGGCTGAGTGCCAATAATGTGACCATCATCGAAATGCATGACAGCTCGATTGGTGAGAAATCTGCGGTTGAGGGCAGCAAATGAGGTACGTTGTTTCTAACCTTATTTACCGTCCTTGATCCTTGTTACCGTGAGGAAGTGTCTTTCTTGAGAGTCCTCTCTTGTGTCATGGGTCGCAAGCGTCCCTTGAGAGACCACATTCTCCCTGGGGAGCATGCTGGTGGGAGATGCCCTGTGCTTTCCGAAGGGCATACCGTAACGGTACAGACCAGAACAAGAACCGACCTCTCTCACAAAGTACAAGATAACACAGCGGAAGACTTAAATACCAATGATCCCAACAATCAATGTTGCTATGCAAACCAAACATACATCATCATCATTCCATGGTGTGAAGGAGTCTGGCGCTCACACAGGAAGAATGCGCCAGTCTCCAACCATACACAAACGAAGAAGCGGGGGAATAGACGAAGAAGAGGGGAAGACGTGAATGTTGTCAACACCAAGTCTTCGGTACAGTCCCAAATAATCCCTCGTCAAATGTCTGAATCCCAATGTCGAGTCTGGATCCAAATCTCATCAAATCCCAAAGTCACCAATCTCTCTCTCTCTCTCTCGTAGTATGCAGATACTGAGAAGTCAGGTAGTGAGAGGGTGAGGAAGAGATGGTGGACTTTGAAAAGGAAGCAGAAACTCTCTCTCTCTCTCTCTCTCTCTCTCTCTCTCTCTCTCTCTCTCTCTCTCAAAGTCCCATACTAACCTGTGAAGGTGGCGCCTTGTTGCAGGTACATCGAAGACGAAGCTGGAGCTATGGCATCACAGGTAAGTCTCCCTGGCCTCCACCAACCATCGCTCTCTCTCTCTCTCCAACGCTACTCTGGCTCCTACTAGCGCCCAGCGCTGAAGACTACTGCTAACGCTACTACTCCTGCAGCACTCCTCCAGAGTGCTGCTGCCGAATCCTGAAGACTACATCCTGCCTCCTGCACGTGAAGTGCCTGGGAAGTTCCTAAGAACTGCCTCCTGACTGCCTGCAGCCTGTAGGGCGGGCCAGTCTTATATAGTGCTGGCCCTTCCAGGAGGCTGCTCTTGCCAATGCCAAAACGTGCCAGACCCTGGCGTTGAAGTTCAAACAAAGGTTGTCTTGAAAACCGGACCAAAATGGCCTGTGCTAAAACGCTGGTCTGGTGCCTAGGTTTCAGGGCAGGTCGATCTTATGAGGGCCTGAAAATGGCCCTCCATTTCAGGCTGAAAAGACTCAGGGACTTTAGGCCCTTGTTTTCTGGCTTTTAGGCTAGGCACTCGTTTTCAGGCTTTTAGGCTGAAACGAAAACATGCCCAATGCTTACGGACCCTTAGTCTACCTGGTCGGGCCCTGCTGGGCCCGTGTGGTACTGAGTATGCCACACTCCCCCCTCCTTGAAAGACCAAGCTTACCTGCAAGGGCGAAGCTGTCTGTTGGACGGAGGGACTGAAGTCCGGATGGGAGGCTGTGCAGCTTCCGTGGCTAGCCATTTTTTCTCATAATCAGCGTAGATATCTGGTGTGGAGGCTTGCAAAGCTGCCTGGGAAATCCATCGCATGTGCTCGCGGTCGCACCATTTGAATGAGACTTTGTACTGCATTGGCTTGTTGCCGTGCTTGCGTTGCGTGATGACGCGGTCGACTTCCTGATGACCATCCATGGAAGGAGGATCCTGCAATCGTCGGCCCTGGAAGTCGTCGCTCTTGGCTGGTGTATATGTGGCCATCTTGGAGGCATGGAAATCCGGGTGCACTGTGAGATGCGGTGGGATTTCGATCACAAAGGAGGGGCCATCGGGCTCATCGCCCGAGCTGATGTGACGGGCCATGGTCCAAACCACTTTGGAAGTAGCTTGCAGGACACATCTTGTTCAAGCGCACACTCCTCCGTAGAGACCCAAACAAGGTCACCGGCACATCTGTTAGCTTGCTGTTGCATGCAGAATTGAGCCTTTTGCATGTTGGCGCGCGCTTTAGCCAACAAGTCCCTATACTTCCGAACGCAGGCGGGAGAACAAGCGGCGTCAATGTCGACAGTCCTTGGAAATGGAAGATCATCGAAGATATGGTCTTTCCTGCCACCGTGGTGCAACTCGAATGGAGTCACGCCGGTCGCCGGGTGCAACGAAGTGTTGTAGGTGAATTCGATGTCGGGGAGGCGGTCCACCCAATCCTTCTGATCCATACGAAGCATTACTTGAGCGGTTTGATGTGCCCGCTCCGTCTGCCTGTCCGTTTGCGGATGCCGAGCCGAACTTGGTTTCATCTCGGTGCCAAACTCTTTCATGAGGGAGGTCCAAAACGCCGACATAAAACGAGTGTCGCGGTTGCTGACGATGTCTTCTGGAACGCCGTGGCTGCAAATCCAGCCGGTGTGTAAGAGTCGCGCAAGTTCAGGAGTCGTGGCGTAGTACTTGCAAGGAAGAAATTGTGCGTACTTGCTCAATCGGTCAACGACCCTGAGAATGTCGTCGTGCCCGAAGCGGCCACGACAGAACCGGTCGGTGACGTCCATAGCGATGGAGAGGCCGAGTTCCCGCGGAACAGGCAACGGGCGTAACTCGCTATAGGGGTTGCAATTGCGGGGTTTGCTTCATCGACAAACTTCGCAAGAGTCGCAATACCGAGTGACGATGGTAATGAGGTCGGGCCATCGGAATCGTTGTCGAAGTCTTGCGATCGTATGGTTGACTCCGAAGTGGTCGGCGAGTCTCGAGTCGTGGTACTCGCCAAGGAGGCGAGTCCGTAAGCGACGGTCAAGTGGGACTCGTAGTAAGTCCTTGCCTCGTGAGTGAAGAAGCAAGTAGCCATCGACGACGCAATAGTGGTTGGTCGGCGCGTGATCCGAGGATAGTTGCTCGTAGAGTGTGGCGTATTCCGGATCGGACTTGTATCGCACAAAATGTTGATGAAGTGCATCATCGAAACTGAATGCGTGGTGAGTCAATGCACAAAGATTTGATCTTCGCGAGAGAGCATCCGCGGCTCGGTTGGAAAGGCCCGAAATGTGTTTCGGTGTGAAGTCGAACTGATCGATGAAATACATCCATCGAGCCATCGTGCTGCTCACCGTGTCTTGCGTCTTGTAGTAGGTCGGTCAATGGGTTATTATCCGCCGCCCAAGTGAACATACGACGCCCGAGGAGGAAGTGTCGCCAGCGCTTGAGTACCGTGACGAACACAAGCAACTCCTTCCGCGCATCATCAACCGAGTTGATGGGAGGCACCTTTTGGCTGAAGTGCTCAACCGAATGCCAGTCTACTCCGTCGTGCTGTTCCAAAACTGCACCCATGTCGTAGTCAGAAGCGTCCGTAGTTACTCTCGTAGGCAAGGTGGGATCGTAAATACTCAAGACGGGAGCGAGGGGCAACGACGTCTTCAATTTGTGGAACGAACTGCGAACTCCGTTAGTGAACTGGAAGGGCACCTTTGGAGACTGCAATCTTGACAAGGGCGCGGTGATCCGTGTGTATCCTCTGATGAAGCGTTGGTAGTACCCGGCCAATCCCATAAGAGATCGGACTTGCGTGGTGTTGGTTGGTTCCGGCCAATCTTGAATGGCCTTGATCTTGTCCGCAAGCGAACAGATGCCTTGCAGGGTTGCAAAGTGGCCCAAGTGCTCGAGCTCTTGCTGCGCGAATTCCACTTGGCTCGGTTGGCCTTGTACTTGGTCGTACGTAGCCTGTCCAAAACAGCGTGTAGATGCATGACGTGCTCATCCAAATTCCGGCTATATACAAAGATGTCATCGAGGTAGATGAGCACAAACCGGTCCAACATATCGCAAAACTCCGTTGTCATTGCTGCTTGGAAGGTGGTCGGGGCATTCGTGAGGCTGAATGGCATTACGACCCACTCAAAGTGCCCGTACCGTGTCTTGAACGCGGCTTTGTATCGATCTCTTGGATGGATCTCGAGCTGGCGAAGGTCAACAACCACTACTCCGTCTTCCATCAACGAAGCTGGTACTACGGCGCGCAAGTAGTTGCAAAGCTCCACCATTAGGGCGTTGCAATGCGGCTTCGACAAGGAACCAAATGGGGGGAAAGGCACCCATTGGAAGTCCTCCGGTGTCAATGGGGAAAGTCGGTTAACCGACCATACGACTTTTGCACGGGGAGAGGTTGGTCCAACGGCGGGACCAGTTGGACAGCATAATCTTCATAACCTTCTTGAAGACTGGTGACATACGCATGTTCCCCGGACGTGGAGGAGGTTGTTAGCAAAGCAACCATGTCCGACGGAGTAGGAAGTGGAATCGTCTTCTTTGCCTTTGTCAAGGCATGGCGACGTCGTGTGCTTGGTGTTGTTGCACCAGTAGCAACAGTTCCACCTCTGGTGGAGCTTGTATTGCAACTCCGTGAGGTTGAACTTCTTCCATGGCTCGTTCGGCTGTCCGATTTCTGTTGTTGACTCAAATTTCTCCTTTTTCTGCTTGTTGTTGCGTCGTGGCAGAAGGGCGTTGACTCTGTCTCCTTCATTAGACTCGTGAGTCAGCGCCTGGTCGTCCTCTTGTCCATTGCATTGGACAGCAGCGACTTGCTGCGGCCACCGGCCTTTGCCCTTTTCCACAAAATTTGGTTGGCTTCACCGCTAATTGTCGACCCACCGATTCGTTTGGATTACTTTGCGCGCCTTATCCACGATCTGGTCGAAGTCAGTGTACAGGCTGCGCTCCCCAAGGGCCGTGCTCAACGCCTCAACCAACCGCTGGAAGAATTTGTGACGAAGATGTACGAACGGTATGTCCAGATTCGAAATTGTCACGAGTTTCTGCCATTCGGTTAACCATTCATGTGTTGGCTGGCTGCCTTGGTGCATGCTGAAAATCCGGTTCACGCATTTGCCTTGAGCGTCGTCGACGATGAAGCGTTTTCGCCACTTCTCGATCGTGGCCTCCCAAGTGATCTTGGTGTAAAGCTTAGCGATATCGACGCCTTCGGTTTGAGTGAGGTGGTTGAGCCACACTTGGCTGGCACCGGTGCTGCAGAGGAAAAGCGCTAAGATCTTCAACTCAGGCGGGACCAAGTGGATGGAGAGCTCGCTGGTGAATCCTTGCCACCAACTTATGGGGTCCGCCTTGTGGTAGTCATCAAATTTGTCGATGCTAAACTTCGCAATCTTGAATCGTTTAGACGTCAGGCTGTTGCAGGTCCCGGTTGGTTGTTGTTGCAGCTGGTGCAAATCCGCTTGTAGGGCAGCTATTTGCTGGCTGATGGTCGCCAGTTGTCGGCAAATGTTCAAATTTCCGACGAGCGCTACTAGGTGATCCATTCGTTCTTCCAGCTCGCGGATCGATGGATCAATGCTTGACGATGCCGTGTGCCTGTGCGGCACGTCATCCTTCTCCAACACGTCGAGGCGGGCATGGAGGCTCTTGAGAGTCTCCTCATACTCAGCAATGGTATGCGCCTGCCGAGCCAGCTCCACTTGTTGCCAATTACAATTGAGGATGTGACTTGGTGCATCACGTTGGCGAGGACTGACTTGGTCTGCTCCTCCGCAGTTGGTTCTGTCGTCTCCGCCGGATCAACATTCCATGCTTGGAGTGCGGCAGTATGAGCGGCTTCCTGCTGCACGAGGACAGATGCGGCATCTTTTCGAGCTTTGTTATGGTTGGCAGCTGCTTCAGCGTGCTGCCGGCGTCGTTGCTCCGCGTCGCGTGCAATGGCATGGAGGCGTGCCGTTTCAGCTGCCGCCTCGCGTTGCTGTTCCTCCCGTACTCGTTGCATGTACGTGCCCAGGCGGGCCAGGAAAGCCATCATGGTCTCTCCTTGCTGCCGGACTGGCACAGCGTCGAGGGCTCCCGCAGGTGTTGCAGTGGAACCCACCTGCTGGACCTCTGGGACCAGGGGGTTCGAGCTGCACGCCTGACGTGGACTGCCGGATGCGGCATTGTCCACCGTGGGGTTGCCCTGGGCGCCGATTGCAGAGGGGTACGGCAGGGGTAGCTGCTATTCCGCTGCGGCTGCCCGCCCTTCACGTGCTGCGATGCGTTTGCTGCGTTGGGGCATAAGCTGCAGTTAGCTGTACGGTGTCGGCTGACGAGGTACTGTTGACGTGGCTCTGCTGCTGTCGTGGCACTGCTGCTGTTTTGGCACTGCTGACGTGGCACTTACCAAAACGAGAATGCAGGCAAAAGGGTTGGGTGGGAAGGAAAACGCAAGAAGGTAACCAACCAAACTGTACTTTCCTCCCAGTCCTGATCAACAGAATAAAAATAAAAAATAAAAGAAGAGGATCACCCCCCACCCCTTTTTTTCCTTAACACTCGCGGTCCTCGCGTAACGCTCCCGCGAGAGACCGCTATTCACTGTTGGGAAACGGAATGGGACAGGTAGGCGGGCCCGACAGACACCGCGTATGTCTTTCGGGCCGGGCCGGGTCGAACCGGTGACCATCGGCGATATTGTGGATCGGGCCTGCGTTGGACGGCCCGATAGATTTTTCGGGATCGGCGCCAGCGATTCTCGAAACTTCTATCGGGCCATCCAGTGCAGGCCCGATCGACGATCTTGCTTTTAACTTCTGTAGTGCGCCGTGCTGTTTCGAATGCTTCGAAAGTTTGCTGCTTTGCATACTGGTGTCTCGAGAGAGAGAGAGAGAGAGAGAGAGAGAGAGAGAGAGAGGGGGAGAGAGAGAGAGAGAGAGGGAGAGAGAGAGAGTGAGAGAGGGCTGCTTACCGGATGGGTGGCGCAACTGTTTATGACGGCGACGAGCGCGATAGCACGTAGTGGCTGACGACGACGACGTCACAGAGAGATAGAGATAGAGAGGGAGACAGAGAGGGAGGGAGAGAGAAAGGGAGAGAGAGCAAAGGAGGCCGGCGGCTGTTGACGGTCGGAGCAGCGCGGCAGAGGAGAGAAGAAGAGGAGGACAGGCGACCTCGCGAAGAGATGGCGGATGAAGGTTTTTTTTTTTTTTTTTTTTTTTTTTCGGGTGGGTGACCCGCCACCGCAGGAAGTCGGGATGGAGGAGGGGACGAGCCCGATGGGGAGGGAGGGGGTCTGGTGGTCAGAGGAGGTGGGACGAGGCGACGGGGTCGATGGAGGAGGGGAGGAGCCCGATGGGGAAGGAGGAGGTCCAGTGGTCGGAGGAGGTGAGACGAGGCGACGGGGTCGGGATAGAAGGGGGGAGGAATTGGGATGGGGAGGGAGGGGGTCCGGTGGTCGAAGGAGGTGAGACGAGGCGACGGGGTCGGGATAGAAAGGGGGACCGCCGAAAGTCGGGATGGAGGACGGGAGGAGACCGATGGGGAAGGAGGTGGTCCGATGGTCGGAGGAGGTGAGACGAGGCGACAGGATGCGAGGGAGGGGTTCGGTGGTCGGGATAGGGAAGGGATGAAGTCGGGATGGGCAGGTGCTCGAAGGTGGAGGCGATGGGGTCGGGGTAGGGCATTGATGCGACTGGGGGGGGCGACGAAGTCGGGATGGGGGGCCGGCGACGAGATCGCAATAGGGGAGGGATGGGATGGGAGGTCGCGATATGAGGGCGACGGCCCTGATTGCTTTTTTTTTACCTTTTTTTTTTTTTTTTTTTTTTTGCCCACAAAAAACGACGACGGCCTTGAGCTATCAACATGAGGGGAGGAAAGGGTAGGCAGAGAGGGAAACGAGGGGCTGTGACAAACTGTTTCGTTGGAGTTGTGAGGGGGGAGGGGGATGGGCGACGACGGCCTTAGGCAGAGAGGCAAACGAGGGGCTGTGACAAACTGTTTCGTTGGAGTTGTGAGGAGGAGGTGAGACGAGACGATGGCGTCGGGATAGAAAGGGGCAGGTATCGAGATGGGGCGACGAGGTCGGGATGCGAGGGAGGGCTCCGGTAGTCGGGATAGGGAGGGGATGAAGTCAGGATGGCGACGAGATCGCGATAGGGGAGGGATGGGATGGGAGGTCGGGATAGGAGGGCGACGGCCTTAATTGTTATTTTTACCTTTTTTTTTTTTTTTTTTTTTGCCCACAAAGAACGACGACGGCCTTGAGCTATCAACATGAGGAGGGGGGGAAGGGGTAGGCAGAGAGGGAAACGAGGGGCTGTGACAAACTGTTTCGTTGGAGTTGTGATGCGGGAGGGGGATGGGCGACGCCGGCCTTAGGCAGAGAGACAAACGAGGGGCTGTGACAAACTGTTTCGTTGGAGTTCTGAGGGGGGAGGGGGATAGTGTCTCTTATACACATCTAGATGT